GGGGGGGGGGGGGGAGGCCATGTGGAAGGACCAACGCGAAAAAATAAATGTAATGTTTGGGAATTTTTGTGGAGGAAACTATTTATGGCATCGATTAGAAGTTTTTATTAATATATTGTATTATGTTTTAACTTTTTAAAAATTATTTTTGAATTGTCCACAATGTACGTAAAGCGGATTTATGCGTGTTTCCGTCGAGGCCACATTTTAGTTGGCGGGCAGTCTAGCGCCTACTGTACTGTAGCCTATTGTACTCGTCTGAAACAAAAATGTCGGGTGATTTTTTGTAGCTAATAATACTGTGAACCTAGTGAACCTAAATGTATATAAATCTGTGCACAATAGCGGAAGTGGTGCGACTTTGAAAATGACCATATTTTTTCAACTTTGGCATGTAAAATAAATATTAAAAATTAACAATATCATTCTAGGTGTAGGTTCACTCGGTTCATAATTATGTTCTTTACATGCGTGTAAAATTAGAAGACGATCGGTTAAATACTTTTTGATCTATGTTGCCTACCAATGTTGAAAATGTAGTTTCGTAAAAAACGCGTTTAAAGTTTTGGATAGTAAAAAGTACCAACTTATAGCTGGTTTGCGCTAATCTGCTATACCAGGCCCTATAGACCCTCAGCTTCTTCGGAAAAATGGTGCAGTTCCGCTTGTTGCTCTTTTCGAACTGTACGAATCTCTCTTGTGCTGCTGAGGCTGCGGCGCTCCTGCCGCCTCACTCGCTCCGCATCGTGAGTATCGGCGAAAATCTTGGCATTGTGTCCGATGATGATGTTCAACGACTGCATAATCTTTAATATGACAAAATAACCGACTTGAATAAACCGACCTGAATATGCCGATTGCAGTAAATCTCGATGATTTTTATTACAGAATGTAAGTGTTTCGGAGCCATCCCACATAGCATGCAATATTACACAATGTCACAATAATATTTCCGTAATATTTCTGCGATACCGCAATATACACTATATAATATTACGTACTATGTGGGATGCGCCACACGGTGGAATTGAAATTCTCATTTGCGTTTTGTGTATGTCCGCCTATACATCTTTCTAAAAGATCTTCTCGCGACAAATCGTTATAAATCGGCAATAAATGCTGCTGCACAGTTGCATGAAGTGCAGGCAGATAATTGAAATCATCAAGTGTACCTGTGGCCTCAGCGACACGCCACTTGCACCAACTATCGGCTCCAGGTGGATAGTTGTGATGCATCGGTGTTTCATTAGTCGATAAATGTTAATACGTTGCCATTATCGCTTTTTTCATTGTATCAGCGGAATCATTTCTTCGTATTACCAGACCATGATATTTTGTAAGTTTTGTGATGAGAGCATTTGTCAATTTTCTTTTTCCTCCAAGCTTTTCAGTTTTTTTCAGATTGCGTAGACGCGTACCCATCCTCTTTTCCACGTGACCAACGCACTCGCTTTTTATTATCTAGAAATCGTCGCCATAAGGATATAAATCTAAAATAGTCTTGTACGTTTTCGAATCACCATCGTCAATGTAATTGCCGTATTTTACTTCAAATCTCTCTTCGGATCTTAAAAACATTTCTTAAATAGCATCTACCTCCATTTTCCCTGAAGAACCGATATGATTTGCCGAGCAATTTTCTTCATGTTCTTCGTACCATTCGAGATAATCTTCAGTATGACGCTTGTGTTTCCAATGCGCACAGAAGTGACAGTAGCTCTCTTTCACAACGAGGTCTATTACCTTGCCACTATAATATCCTATAAATGTCGTTACGTTGTACAACGAAGAGAAGCCGCGTTCTTTC